ATCTTCTTACAGAACTCTCGCAACCGACGAACTGTCAGAAACCTGCCGACCCTCTGACAGTTTCAACTTATGATCATTTAAGCGTTTCCCGATGGTTTCCCTTTAACAACTGGTTCTTTAGGTTTCTTCGAGATTCGCCCCTCATCAAGATCCGTCTTCGAGGACGACGGTAGTAACACACCATTCAACGGAGTCCTCCTTAGCTAAGGTTGCATGTTTGTGGATTCGACAGCCCCGGAACGGACTATGTTCGATCTTCTTCCTAACTCCCATAGCCTTGCTAATTCGCTGGTCAATTCGCCTTGGCCCTTTTGGCACATTCCGAGGCCCACCCCTTGGCATTTGTCCTTTCTCCTCTTGGGCCTCCCCCAAAATATTTTTAAGTGGGGAATGAAATCTTGGACCCCCAAAAAGGGAATCTGGTCCATAAAAATTCCAGATTAGGCCTTACATAGCCTCGACCCATCTACAGTTGTCATCACTTGGAGCCCCTCTCCTTCTTCTGTCGTCACCGGCCCAGTCACCGGCCCAGATTGGTTAATCACCTCAGCCCGACTACCCTGAAGCCCAATTCCCGAAACCTTCGACATCGCAGCCCCCTCCGACCGGCGTTTCATCTCTACCGTCGTCCATTGGCGAATCCCCTCCGGCCTCGGCCTCTCTTTCCTCACCTTTTCCCATTTCTCATTCTGAGCATACACAGCCCTGGCGACATCGGCTTCGTGAACCATTTCCCGGTACCAAGGGGCTCAAGCATTGGAGGATTCTGCTACCGACAATGCCGGTTCCGACGCTAGAGGGTGGCTTCTCTGTGGTTCCGTTTTCTTTTCCTTCGTGTCACCACGGCCGAAAGATTTTTTCACCCACTCCTTAGTCGAGAGCTTAGAATTCTCTCTTCTCCGTCATGGGCCTCTCCCAACTCCTTCATCAAATCACGGCGGAGCGGTTTTGGTGAGCCCTTGTCCCCCGGTTTGCCGCCGCGTCGTTTGGATTGGTTCTCTCGGGTTCTGGTTGGTCGGACAGGCTCCACCTTAAGAGATCTCTGTCGCTGCCCGTCTTGCTGCTCCCTGTGTCGAGCCGCCGGTTCAACTATGCTCTGTTGCCTTCCCCACCGATTCAGACAAGCCCTAGTATCATGCGACATCCTCATAAATGTTTTGCAATGATTTTGTAGCTTCAGGTAATCAAAATTGATCCTGAAAACTTCTCCCGTATCCGATCTCGCCTCTCGGTAAAGAATGAGTGGGACATGCAGCCCACCTCGACCCGCACCAGGGGATAAGGCACAACTATCC